CCCGGGGCGGCCAAGGTGAGTGCCCCCTGGGGGAGCGGCCCCGCGGGGTGAGAGGTGGGGGAGGAGCCTCTGGAGAGGCAGCTCTGGCGCCAGTTTCACGGGTTTTCATCACACCCCGAAACACGAGTTCCTTATTTCCATGCAGCGGTTTTGTTTAGAGAGACCCCTTTTTGGTAACATAAATCTATTGGAAAAGGAAGCTCGCCCCAGCAATGGCCCCAGCTTGGATCACGTCTGTGCCCAGAGCTCCCCTGACCCCCGTGTCCTTCCCCAGCCCGGGAGTGCCCGGTGGGATGGGGTGAGGGGTGGGATGGGGTGAGGGGCGAGCGGAAAGGAGACCCCACGGGGAGGTGAGCATGCGCACGCGATGACGTAGGATGAACCACCCGTGCAACGCCCCCCCCCCCTCCACAAAGGAAGTCCAAACTTGTTGAGCATTTAAAAAAAATAGATTTTTATTGATTTCAGTGAGGAAGGGAGAGGGAGATAGAAACATCAGTGATAAGAGAGAACCACTGGTTGGCTGCCCCCTGCACACTCCACACTGGGGGGTCGAGCCCCAAACCCCTGCATGTGCCCTGACCGGGAATCGAACCCTGACCTCCTGGTTTATAGGTCGATGTTCAACCACTGAGCCACACGGGCCTGGCTAGAGCATTTTTTTTTAAAAGCGTTTTTAAATTTTTTAAAGCATGCCCCATACTGGGGATCGAGTCCACAACCCAGGCATGTGCCCTTGACCAGACTTGAACCCGGGACTCTTCAGTTCACAGGCCCATGCTCTATCCACTGAGCCAAACCAGCTAGGGCTGTAGAGACTTTTTATAAAAATTTATCTGGCTCAAAACAGTATAAGCCTGGAAGCAAGATCTCAACAGACAGAAAAATGCTCCACAGAATAAAGTTTGCGGTTTCTTCTCTGCACGGAGGTTCAGGGGGGACCCCAGGGAAGTCTGGTGGAGGTGGCCGAAAGCAAGGCCCGGGTGGGAGCACTGGGTAGTTAGGACTGTGCCGTCTAGGGGGGTCACACTTTAGAAGGAGGGGCCTGACAGGGGGCATTTCAAAGGCCTGCTAACTAGATGCACGGAAACAATGGATGGGTTGGTTTAAGGCCAAGAAAAGCCTTTTACTAAAGAAGTTCAATGCCTCTGACTATCCACCATGACCTGCAGGGTTAGGAGTTTATGGTCAGATCGTCCTGTGAGGAACTTTCCATAGAACCCCATTTCCATGCACACCCACTCCTCCAGCAGCTCTAGGTGGGGGCCCTTCCCAGCCCCATCCCTGCAGCCACGAGTCCCTGGGGAGAAGTCACTCTCTCCATCCTCTTTGTCCAGGAGGAGATGCAGCCAAGGCCCCAGCAGCTGAGCAGCAGGCGTCTGGGGCTCCCTCAGAATCTGGGGGGTCCTGTGTCCCCCAGTCAGGAGCCCCCAGAGGGTGGCGCCTCTTGCCCTAGCTGCCCTATGCAGAGGCCTCCCTGGACCACATTCCTGGCCTGGGGGAATCTTTGGGGGCCCCAGAGGTCCTGCCTGCATCCAGGCCCCGCCCAGGAGGCTCTTGGGACCCCCTGCAGGGCTCACAGCTGCCTGGTCCCCACCCATCTGGACAGGGTATGCCCGAGCCAGCTCACTGCCTCCAGGCAGCCTTGGGGGGTGGGTCTCCCAGGAGGGGATGCCTCCCTCCAGCATCTGCTTCCTTTATTGAGACCTGGGTTCTTTCCTCTTAACAGCAAAGGCCGGTTTCTTTTCATTGTGATGTAAAATGTCCTGCCATTTTGGAGTCAAAAGTTGCAGCTCTCTTTGTCCCAGACCATTTCCTGAAAGCTCCCGCACACCTTGGGGCTGTGGGCCTGTGCTTATCAGACCCACCCAGGCGGAATGCTGGCATTTCCTGTTCTGAGCTACAAACCCGGCACTTTCACTTGGTTCCACTGTAGTAGGGACTTCTCCCCTCCTGGCCGGAGCCTCAGTCCCTGCTCTGGCACCTTGCCCAGAGGCATGGTTGGGTGGCCTTGGACCAGGCACTTTCCTCTCCGGACTTCAGTTTTCCATCAGTGATGGGGTTCTCTCAGTCACCTCACATTCCCCAGACGGCCGCACAATGTGTGGAGGCAGGCACATCTGGGGGCTGGGGGCAGGCAGCTCCCAGCTCACTCCTGTCCACCCTGCCGGTGCCCACTGCCTCCAGGGGAGCTAGGTGTCAGATTTCAGTTTTCAGCCCCCTCCAACACCTGCAGTGCCTCCACTGCCCTGGCACCTGCCACCCACCCCCAACCCCTGATGCCTCTGCAGGGAGTTCTGCTTCCATGGGGATATCCCTAACTGGGGTGTGGAAGTTGGGGTGACCTCCCTTTCCTGGGTTCCAGGCAGGGGATGATTCTACTGGTCACGAGCCCGTTCTGCACAGGGATGACTTGGAGTCCCTCCTGAGCGAGGTAACACATCACCTGGCCTCCGCCTTGTCCTTACTGCTCCCCCTAACCCCCACCCCCAAGCCAGCCAGCACCCGAGCCACAGGAGGGGCAAGGAGTCCCAGCTCTGGGCCCTCCAAGCACCCCAGGGCAACATGCTCCAGCATGGCCCTGACCCCTCTATGCACGTGAGCACACAAACGCAACAAGGGAACCCTGAGCAGCTCCCCCTTCCAGCTGGCTCGCAGGTCCTGGTGCCCAGACATGGGGGGTTGCAGAACCCCAGCAACAGGGCCACCAAAGCCGGACTTGGAGGCCGTGCCTTTTCCCAGGGCGGGTGGGGCCCAGGAGCTCTGCTGTCTGTGGCTCTCTCCCTCCTCTTCCTGACCCAGGCCTCTCTGCCTGAAGATGAGCAGCTAGATTTGCTGGGAAGAAATGCGGCTTTTAGGGGCCTCATGTTCTTTGGACAGGAGGTCAACACCTCCAGCCATTCCCCTGTCCCAGGTGCCAGATGTGGGCGGGGCGGGCATACCTCTCCTGGGAGGTTCTGGCTGGGTCCCAGTGCCCTGGTTCTGCTCTGTCCTGCAGCACTCCTTCGATGGCATCCTGCAGTGGGCCATCCAGAGCATGTCCCGCCCGCTGGCCGAGGTGCCCACCTTCCCCTCCTGATCCGGAGCCCCAAGCCTGGAAGCATGGAGGGGCAGGGGCCGAGGGAGATCAGGTCCTCCCATCCCTGCATCAGTGGACCTGTGAGTGCCCGCTTGTGCTCACGGTGACTCTGCTCTGAGAGGGACGGAGGGACAAGCTCCCTCGCCCCGGAGCTGTCCAGGTGGGAGCCAAGAGGACTGACAAGTTCCAAGTATTGTCAATGCCGCTTGTAAACACAACCCGTCTTTGTAAACACAAGCCATCATGTGCCCTAATATTAAAGTCACGTCTGTGTAGGTTTAACATGTTCTCCAGTGGATGGGGTGTGTTTATTTTGGGGGGTCTGAACCCATGTTTCTGGTGCCTGAAGTGTGGGTGGAGCTGGCTGGCTGGAAATGCCTGTGAGCAGCTCCACTCTGCCCTCTGCTGGGAGCGCTCTGGTGCTGCCTTTGGACACCTCTGTCTCTGCCCCCACCGTGCTCCTGCTTGCCCCTGTGAGGGGCCAAGCTCGTCCACCCCAGGGCCTTTGCAGGGCTGCTCCCTCTGCTCACATTTCCTTCCCTTGATGCTTTGCGGTCTGTTTTCTCAGCATTGAGAGCTCAGCTCCAATGCCATCTCATGCATCCAGTTATTCACTCACTCATTCAATCATTCATTCATTCAAGAAACTTCCTTGTGGGTTTTTTATGCACTGAGCCTATTTCCAGCCGTGGGGTCCCAGGGGGAGATCCCAGTGGTGGGATGGACCACGTACGAGAGGAAGGTGACCTCACGTGGGTAACTGCTATGATACGGAGGCAGGACTGGGGTCAGAGGGCAGAGCATGCTAGGGGAGGGGCCAGTGTGTCTGTGCAACAAATTGGAGGTCGTGTGACTGGGGCACACTTCACTGAGTCACACCCAGCTGTAAACAAGTCATGTGAGAGCCCCACCCCAACCCTTAGGACACACAGTAAATGAATGATAGGGAAGGTCAGTGGGGTAGGTCTAACCAAGCAGGGCAGCGGCCAGGCAAATACAGCAGACTCCAGGTTTCTGGGAGGAAGCCCTGGGGAGGGGGGGTCAGGGCAGGAGTGGGGACTGGGCTCCAGGAGCCTCAGAGCAGGGGCCCTAAAGGACCAGGTGGCTTCGGAAGGCTCCCTCATGGAGCGTCCAGCCCCTCTGCCCTCATTTTCCTCATGGCAACTACCACGGTCTGAAGCTGGCTTCTGGATTGGTCGGCTTCTTTCCTAGCTGTGTCTGTCTCCCAGAACTGCAGCTGGGGGTCCTGGGGCCCTGCCTGGTTCTTGGCCATGTCCCCAGGGCCTGGCACAGCTGTTGGGTCCGTGTTGGTGGGAGGGGATGGCAGGGCTGTCATAGCTCCCTCACCTGCAGGAACCTGTGACAGAAGGCCCAGATGGGGGTCAGAGGCCTGGGAGGAAGGGAAGTGGGCACAGGCCTCCCTGTGAGGGGGCAGCAAAGCTAGGACTTGTGCTGACTTGGGACATGGCTTTTGTTCCCACCCAGGGAGGCCCAGGCAGGGAGTGACAGCAGGGATAGGGGTCCCAGTCAAGACTCAGCCCTTGGCCTCTCTGGGGTCCGGCTGGCTCACACAGCCCCTCTGGGGACCCTCTGCCTATACACGGGCTCCTTAGGCAGCACCTGCAGGGTGGGTTGAGGGAGGGGCAGGCCCCCCTATGACAGCTCATGTTTAGGGTCTGTTTAGCCCTGGAGGGGGCCTGACTCCCACCAGCGTGGGGTAAGTGCCCCATGCCTCTTGGTTGAGCAGCTGTTTCAGGCTGGGCCAGGCCAGGCAGGCAGCGATGGGACTGACAGCAATAGGACAGCAATGCCAGGAGCAGATGGAGCCGTGAATACACTGGGCGTGTCCCAGCGTGGAGGCTGGATCCTGGACAAGGAGAGACACAGAGAAGGGAAGGACTGAAACCAGACAAGCAATGGGTCCGTGCTGCCTGTCACTACTTGAGCCAATTAAGCGGATACAGGGTTGAATCATATATAAGCATTTATTCCAATATTGCCAGCAGTATGGGAGAGCAGCAGGTCATCCACAAAAACCTGCTCTGCAGCCCCCATAAGCCAGCTACTTACTGGTATATGGGGTAGGACAAGGATTCCTTGGGGAAGTAGGGATTGTAGGTATGGGAAAGTAAGGATTACCGGCAGGGGTATGCAGGCAATGTGGGACTCCATTGTTTGGACCACAAGATTGTTAATCTTTCCATGATAAAAGGCAGCTCTTGAATGAGAATGGACCACATTCCAAAGTTGACTGGCAGGTCCAAGGTTGTCTCCTACATCGGAGGGCGGGGTTGGGGGGAGGGCGGCGGTGTACAACTCCCAGCCAGGTCAGAATGTCCTTCCTTTAACCAACACAAGGCAATCCACATCTTGACCCTGGGGGCAGGTATGTTCTGTTGACAGTGCAGAGCCCAGGCTGACCAGAGCCGGGCACAGGGACCACTGGCGGGCACTGCCAGAATAAGCGAATAAGACTTTGACAATGAGTAAACGTCCAGTATCCAAGGAACGTTTTGAGAAATAATGTTATAGCCACAGATTGGGGTATTATCCAGTCAATAAGATTGACAGCTGCCCCGCCAGCGTGGCTCAGCGGTTGAGCATCGACCTATGAACCAGGGGGTCAGGGTTTGATTCCCGGTCACGGCACATGCCCGGGTTGTGGGCTCGATCCCCAGTGTGGTGCATGCAGGGGGCAGCTGATCCATGATTCTCTCTCCTCATGGATGTTTCTATCTTTCTTTCCCTCTCCCTTCCTCTCTGAAATCAATAAAAATGTATATTAAAAAAAAAGAATGACAGCACAAGCCTGATGGGTAAACATAGATAAGTATTACATTACATTCATTTATTTAAATATATAATATTTATCTATGCACACATAGGCTGTGTGTATACACACACACACATATATAGAGGTGTATATAGTCTATCTGCCTATGTATGTATAAAGAAAAAGTATGTGTATATATGTTTATATGTACATACATACATATAGAAACAGAGAGGTATATATACTTAGCCTATCTACTTATTAGGAAAAAGTATGTGTGTGTATATATTTAGAGCATATACACAGGGTTGGGCAAAAATAGGTTTACATTTGTGAGTATGCAAAACAGAGTTTATTCTTGTATTATGTTTTATTAGTTATTGTATTTTTTTCCATCTGAACAACTGTAAACCTACTTTTGCCCCGCCCTGTGTCTAGAGAGAAGGGAGAACATACGTAAAAAGAGAACAAATGTGTGTATGTCTGGCTATGCTAAGGTCAGGCTGTTTCTAACGCCTTGACAAACTCTAGGGCGGGCTTGGGTTTAACAGCGCCTGGATGGTTATGGAATAGACCCGTGATGGCGAACCTATGACACGTGTGTCAGAGGTGACATGCAAACTCATTGTTTTGGTTGATTTTTCTTTGTTAAATGGCATTTAAATATATAAAATAAACATCAAAAATATAAGTCTTTGTTTTACTATGGTTGCAAAGATCAAAACATTTCTATATGTGACACGGCACCAGAGTTAAGTTAGGGTTTTTCAAAATGCTGACACGCCGAGCTCAAAAGGTTCGCCATCACTGGCATAGACCTTCAATACACGGACACCTGGGTGAGGCGGAACCGGTTTAGGACCGCGGTTCTCCAAGGTGGCAGACCCCCGCTAGCGGGGCTCTGGCTAGTGTGTTGTTGGGGGTTCAGGTGCCCGGCGTGCACCGGGGACAGCTGCGTACGCATTCCGGGCGGGGGCGCTGGACGCCTTCCCCGGCCGCTCACCGGCGTGGGCAGCTGTGTCCTCACACGGGGGCGGGGCCAGGATGGGGCG